GTGCGAGAGAGAGGGATCACCGAGCCCGTGACCATCAGTGGCCCACGTCGCCGAGTGCGGACGTAGGCGACCGCATCCACACCTGAGGCAGAACGGCTGCCTACCCAGCGGGCGCCGAGTGCATCGGCGCATCACCACCTGTCCAGAGTCAGCGTTTGTGTGTCACCCCCGAGCGGCGCAGACAGCGTCAGCAACCAAACACCACCAAAGACTGATAACTCCCGGCGGCCGCCCGGTCGGCTACTCCGCGGTCTCCACTTATTTGCGTGGGACGGGCCGTGACGGCGAACGTCAACACGGCACAATGTGCGCGGCGGGCGCGGGGCGGCCACTCATGTCGTGAGTTGGGGGGGGGGGGGAGGGCTTACATCGCCCGGACGAGACCGGCGCCGACGCGGAAGCAGTGGAGCCAGCAGCGGAGCCCAGCCATGACTACATGTCGACGGCCCATGAACTTTGGCATGGTACGGAGCCTTTCACGGCGGCATGATAGTAGGACCTAAGATGGAGAACCGGCTTGGGGCCCCGATCCGCTACGCCACTGCGCGTTGCGACGTGTAACTCCCGTTCAAGAGAACTTACACACAAAAGGAAAACTGATTTAGAATCTAGAATGTCTGCTGATTTGCCGCATATAAAAATAATTGTCGAACAACAGTCTGGAAGTGGAGATATGGAAGCTCAAAGTTACGCCACCGCTGTCGCGGAGGCGGCGCCTCTGAGCTCCACCGCCTGCTGGCAAGATCTTAGCCGTTCCGGCAGTGTTTTCTTTCTTCTTCTCGATCCTGGGCGTATTCTCGTTGTTTTTATTTCTCAAATAATGAAAATGCTGCACTATTGGGGGCATATTTTATGTCAAACTCCTTCTGTTATCAATATTTAACGTACTTGGAGTGGAAAGAAGAAGAAAAGACTTCCGGAACGGCTAAGATCTTGCCAGCAGGCGGTGGAGCTCAGAGGCGCCGCCTCCGCGACAGCGGCGGCGTAACTTTGGGCTTCCATATCTCCACTTCCAGACTGTTGTTCGACAATTATTTTTATATGCGGCAAATCAGCAGACATTCTAGATTCTAAATCAGTTTTCCTTTTGTGTGTAAGTTCTCTTGAACGGGAGTTACACGTCGCAACGCGCAGTGGCGTAGCGGATCGGGGCCCCAAGCCGGTTCTCCATCTTAGGTCCTACTATCATGACGGCGGGGAGGGGAGCCCTATCGTCTCCCCGGGGGGAGTGCCCAGAGTGCCCGGGTGGGCGCGACACGGGCGCCATAGCCCCAGGTCGTCAAAGACCCCCGCCCGGCAGCATCCCGGATGCTTCTCCTCACCTCTCGAACTGCGTCCACCGGGCAGTGCACGCGCGGGATTCAATTATAGTCTTGTCTGTAAATCTTCCATTTCCGGCCCCCACCCCCCTTTTTTCGAAGCCGCGACGCACTCCATGTTGTAACGGGCGCTCTTAACTTGAGCGAAATTGCGCGCCCGATTTCGACAATCTGAGGGGGCAAGGCTAGTAATGGTGGATGCGCTAATGTGGTGACAAGATGATGGGCCTTCCCTTCCCCCACCTTCCCCTCCGCAGCGACGCCGCGTAACGCCCAGGTTCTGTGTTGTGTTGCAGTGGTGCTGGCGCTGGTGTGGCTCGACTTGGTGCTCGTGCTGCTGGGGACGCTGGCCGTCATCCTCCTCATCTGGGGCGCGGCTCAGGTAAAGTATACCCTATATGAGAAACGTCAACGTCGCTTTGACGTCATAAAGACGCTGGGGAAAGTTGACTCGATTTTCCAACCTCGTTTGTGGAAAATCGCCTCCGATCCAACGTCTTCGCCGATGGCTTCTCACTACTACTGGGTCGCGATCGCGGTTCTCACATGCGGCTCGCTTTGCACTTACCCGCTGTGCCCTCCTTTTGACCGCGCACAGAGGAAGGCGCTGCTGCTGCTGCCGTGGCTCGCGGTCGAGCTGCTCGACGCCGCCTACGAGCTCGGATTCTTCGCGTTCATGTTCCTGTCCAACGACGTCGCGATCGCCATCGACCTCCTGCCCATCCTCGCGCTCCGTAAGTACCGTAGCGGTGCTACCATCCGGGTCGCTACTGCTGCGCTCTTTTTCTTGAGTTTCTTCCATTCATTTGCGGAGAGGAATGCGCAGCAAGCGTACGGTTTAGCGATGAGCTCCGCCAGCGGCATGCGACAGAAGTGCCATTATTTTTTCGTTTTGAAGTCACTGTGGCTCCAGCCTGGGCCAACCGGAATTTTCCGCCAAGCCGGAAGTGGTTGTGTTTGGCGAAAACCAGAACGTGAACAGTTTTGTCGGTTTGTTTTGACAGCGATTACTGTGTACTGCTGGCTCGTCGTGTACAGCCTGTACCAAGAATGCAAGGAGACCGAGGAGCGCAACACGTCTCTCCCGCTGCCGCTGTCCATGTCGGCGCTGGAGGCGGGAGGCGCCGGCGCGCTGGGCGGTTGCACTGTCCCCTACGGCAGGATGGCGGCCTGAGCCTGAGTGCGGCCCTCCCTCCCTACAACTATTAACCTGTACGGACTGAAACTGAGAAACAGAGCGCGCTCTCCAGGGGGACTCGCTGTTTTTAGCTAATGTTCATGTATGAACGAAACTTGTGATATAGAAAAGATAAGAGTCGTTGAACTTATGTTCCAAGTCAAGACACGGATGTAAATTTGCTATCCTACCTTTGACAGTTCAGTTTGGTGGATTGGCGAAATGGAATGAGCGAATGTAAAATAAAATTAAATATGTACTTTTGTTTTGAGTTAGGGTGCTTGTGGAAGGTAGATTGCACTTAGCACATTATTTTCTGCTTGAATTCATGGTAGTAGCCAAGTTTTGGTGTTATGTGTCTGTGTATATAATATGTAATTAAACTATGTCAGCACTAGAAATAAAATTTGCTTGGTACAGATGTACATCTGCATTTGAGATATGGAGCTGTAAATTTGAACAATGTAACTAAAATTAAAAATATCTTTTTGTACGTACATGCTGGGAAGTATAAAGCAAGATTTTCTAAAATCTTGAAATTAATAATTGTGATCCTTAGTAAACAGTCATAATACACTGATACAAAAAAACCTAATACAAAGATATTATTCAATGCAGTATTGATTTTATTCCTCAACTAGAAGAATGAGCCATATTTAAACAGAATACTGTAAACCACAACCCTTGATTTTGTCTGCTGCATTGATGCATTAAGAAGGAAGAACTGGTGCATTCTTGTAAATGGGTAGTTCTGTTGCAAAAATGTGCATCTAAAAAGATAAAAAATTGTTTGCAGGTACTGGTATTTTAAGTTAAAAATACCACACTACCTTGAGAATACAAAGAAAATAGTGAATGATGCAAATTTTCAAATGTAGTCACAGTATCAATGTGTAACATTTCCTCATTGGATGACGGAGCTTAAATCAAATCATTCATAACATTCAGTTACCCAAATTGATCCCAAGCACAAGGTCACAACCAACAAATTATTTCTACCAATAATATACATAAAATGTAATGATAGCTTACATTTTAGAATGCAATTTGTGTTTGCATTATAATCGGTGTTAAAACATTGATTGATAAGAAAAAGGCACAGACAAACATCTGGAGAGATATGGATGACTCAAGAACTTTTGAAAACTTCAATTAATGTACATTACTGACACTACAAAACAACAGTTATAGTAAAATTGTTTTACACATTTACATTGAAATATACAGCAGGCAAAAAATAGTGCAAACTACAAATGTAAAAATCTAAAATGAATTGTGTATAAATCTGACCAAGACCTGTTACAGATTTAACGCAACATGACAGTAACATTAATCAATCACAGCCATAACTACAAAATTCCATCGACAGGATTCCATTTTAATAAAATCTTAAATAAGCGGTGCTCGCAGGTAACTTCACAAGAACACATAGAAAACTTCCACACACTCCCATGTAAGTTACAATTTTTTAAAATATTGCTGTACTTAGGTATTTCTGGTACAAATACAATCACTCAATAATTAATGAATTCAATAAAGGCGTGTAAGTAGGTATATTTATCTCTTAGGTTAGGTTCAAGTCACCTTAAAGTTGAAAATCCTGAGGAATAATCTCACATACTCACCTTTCAGTCTTAAACATTAGTAGATACTATAAGTATTCATTCTGCTAACCTCAACAAAAGCGCTAGTAATATGCAGATGCTCAGGACTAGATGCATTAAGGAAAAAAATAATCATATTTGATGAGTGGTATCTAACAAGCCTGTTATAACAGCCAAATGTGCAACCTACCACTATGCAAATGCACAATCACCAAATCTTGCACCCAAAAAAGAAAAGGGAACCTTTACTGCATATCTTAGAGCACATAGTTTAAATAAACAGATGAATTTAATTAAAGTGATGTGGCAATAAACAAGTTGAATTAGAGTTCATTCATTGCAAAGAGAACCTACTGCCATGGACCATTTTATGTGGATTTCTTAGTGTTAACTCCTGAAACATGTGTACTCTTTCCAGTCTATTGCAGTATTAGTAACTAAGTTTCTGGAAACACTGGAAAACTTGATGACTGATAGTGCTCATCTATTTAATCATATTCATGACTGCTCTCTCGTTTTGACAGTAAGTTTACTCTATCTTCCTCCAAATCACCTGACCCACTAGGAACACCTAAACTCCTTGAAATCTTTGCCAGTCCTTCTGTCAAACCAGTCTCAGTAATCCTAAGACCAAAAGAGAAGAAAGTTTTAATGTTCATTTCTTAAACAGAAACCATTTAAGAATTTTACACTTGAAATTACTTACACCATATCAATTTCTTCATCGTCATCTTCTTCTTCTGTGTTGACTTGAAAGTAAGGGTTGGCTGCAGTTGGTCGGAATTTGTAGCCAGTTAAAACATAGAAAACATAAGTAGCCATTTCCCTAAACATTTCATCCAGCCACTCATATTGGAAGGGTACAGTCATCTGCAGGAAAGAATATTAGGTATTATGAGACAATTAACAAAAATTGAAAACCTTCAGTCTTTAAATGGATAAAAATAAAACACATACTTTCAACAAATAAACAATTATCCTTGTAAAATAAATGTAGCAGACAATCATGATGTAGAAGTGACGGAAAAGTTTCAACTTGCGCAAATTAATGGCAGCTTTTCCATCAGTCTCAGATGCTTCCTGCAAATGCCTTATTGACCTGAAAAATTGCAAGATTTTAAAAGTTACCATCCCTAAACAATAGAACAACAAACGTAACTATAACATTTCTTTACTTTTAAAAATAACTTACCATACAACTGGACAAAGGATGGCCCCACAACAAATTAAATCAACCAGGAAGAATACTTCACGCCACATGCGATGTTCAATGTCTCCCTCCTCTGATTCTTCAATGATAATTTCTGCAACATTTGCAAGCACCTGAAGAAACAAAAATAAAAATACATATTTTTAACCAACCTCATTTGTTATTTACTCTATGAAAGTAGAGTTCTTCCTCAACAAACAATACAATGAAAATACCTGTAATGGGATCACAATCATAAATATTTTTTTGTCTTTTTCAGACAGTATATATTTGATGAATGTCCAACCAGTTCCAATGAGAACAATGGTTATGAACAAAACTGCCCCTTTAAGGCTGTAAGGAGATTATTTTCATGATTATTAAATCACATGTAGGTAAAAGAATTATTTATAAAGTAACACAAACTTACAGATGGGTGACATAAAAGAGGATAGCCCACGCTGCCACATGCGCTCCTTTAGTTTGGATGAAATGGAAATTTATACCATGGAAAAGCAGGGACAAAGATTTGAGGAAGACTAGTACAGCCATCAAGTAAAGAATCTTGTAGACAGGGTGTCTAAAAAATCAAAATAGAGTTTGAGACAAATTTCAAAACAATCAGATTTATAAGGTACAATATATATGTTTTTGTAACATCCAACAAGCGTACTTGCTATGACGCAGAATAAACACCCAAAAGCAGCCAGAGAGGAAAAATAAAATGGCCATCATAAAATAGAGAGCAGGGAGAGGCATTTCTCCAGCAGAGAGATAATTTCCTCTATTTTTCTCCTCAATTTCCATCTAAACATTTGGAAACATTCATGAGTATCAAAGTACTGAATTCCATAATGAATCAATTGATGTAGTTACAGAATAGCAGCAATATAACTTACAGTAAAGCTAATGAAAGCTTCTGTGTCTTCATGATAATTAGGACAGCTGTGAAAATAAAGATTGTACAATCCTTCTTCAGCTTCTGTGGCCACATACATCACAAACTGTGAGGCACAAAACAGAAAGAAGGCATAAATAAGGTAGTCATTCATTAATTATGATTAAACTAGTGTCATCATGTAGAATACATGAAGCACACTGTTACTTGGAATACATTTTCTCATTGCTGATACTCATACTCACAGATGCATTAAAGTATTCTTTATTGGGATCAGCTGTCATTGGCAGTTGTAACTGTGAGCATAAAGTTTGTGGCTCTTCCGGAACAGATCGAGCTGCCCTCAAGACTTGTGAAGGGATGGAGTGAGCTAGAAGATAATGAAAAATTAAACCCAATAATCGTGGTAGGAATTTAGATAATCTATTATATTAATTACAATAAACTGAGGATAAAAAGAATATACCTTGTTCTGGTTGTGAGCCTGGGTACGCAGAGGAGGCAGGGAGGTAAGATTGGTTAAGATACACATGTAGTGTAGGGATTTTTCGACTACAGGTGACATTAAGCCTGCAATTAGAAAAGTAAATCGTGACAACTTGAAAATGTGTAAGAGTAAAATAAGCTAGCAAACAAAATTCGGGTGCTAGCCAATAATATTACTTTAAGTTCTTAAGGTCCATTGTGAAGTACACCACAGGTGGGCTATTCGGAGTTTCCGTTTCAGGTCTCTCTGGCTCTTCAAGAAGACATCGGTCTTGATGACTATCCAGATAAGGATTCATAGCATCACTCAAAGTTCTATCCAAACTGAAGCCAAACTAAAAATTGAAAGGATCGTAGGTTAATAATAGAAGTAAGATGCAAAATGACATTCATGACCATAGTTTATCTTACCACATGTTTTTCATTTAAGGGATGTGGATGGAACTTATTTAAATGAACACTGAGATACCCGCCCTTGTAGAATCCAAAAGTACTGAGGGCTATATAGCGTCGATCATCATTCTAGAAGCAATAAGTAGAGAAGTGCAATTTCACATAAGTGGACAGAAACATAGACAATACACTTAACAAACAGATTGAGATTTATAAAATGAAATCAAAAGTTCAAACAAATTTGTTAGAACTTAACCTCAAGCCCTCAACTCAGAGGGGAACTAGAGGCGTACAGTTAAACAAAACTCTTGAGGAGTGGGAACGAATGCAGATATAGACTGAGCAAACATATTGAAATTTAAAAAATGAAATCCTATACATAACAAATTACAGAGCCATGTTAAAGGTGCAGATGGCAGAGGGTTAGTTTCTCAGCCCCATGCAGAATTCTAAAATATATTCTCAGTAAAATTACCTCTATTTTAAGTTCGTGGATTCTTGAAAAGACGGTGATGGGAAAAAGGCACATAAAGAAAATAAGAGACGTCAATTTTAGCCGTTCCATGTTGACGTCCTAAATCTTGTTGTCACATTTAGGGAGGTGTTTTGTTTTTGATGGTCGCAGCAGCCGCAGCCTTGTGCTATATGTTGACGTTTTTAATGGATCCGTAAGAGTTGATAGTTTATTGTTTATTGCAGGAAAGCAAATGCACAATAAAGCACTTTCATCGAATGGTTTTTTGACTGTGTTCAATTTATTGACATTACACAACACAATATAATTAACAAAAGCATGCACAAAGTTATTAAATTGCAGTAGTTTCTTTCTTTTACATTTTTTCTTCTTTTTCTGCTGGGTCAACAACTTAACGGTAAAAACATCTTGAGTTCATCTGGGCCGGCATATCTTACTTTTAAGTCCACCAATACTTCAATAAGCAGGGAGGAAGCGCAGAGTTTTCTTTCAATATTTTGATCTAAATAAATAAACCATTTTGTTTTATATAAAATTTTGATTATGTTTTGATGTTGGCAAGATAGACTTCTTCTTGTCCTTTACTTTGGGGGGGAATTTTAACCCAAATGATGAATATGGCCTTAAAGTTGAAGTTTAATAACTATGGTCTTGGGTCTAAATGCCAGAGTGCCATTGTGCAATGTGCCTGAACTAAAATGAACTGAATCCTCCTGATTCAAGAAACAATATTTTCCCCAACTCAGACAAGCAACATTACATACGAGAAGAAATGTGGAGTGAGTAGACAAGAGTTACTGACTCTTTCCCATAACTTGTTGCATCCCCCCTGAGTAATATATACTGTATATGTGTTTTAGAGTAAGACAGCTCATGGTTAAGAGAATTAATTGGCCAACTCTAAGAACAATATTTGAACATTCTGTTTTTGTGTAAATATACACTGTATTTTAGAAAGATAAAAGTAGGTGTTTGAAAGAAACAAAAAACTATTATTTCATTTGATCTTAAGAGGCTGATTATTAAAATAGATGATTCCGGCTGTGCGGCTGTGCCCACTTAAAGAAGAACTAAGCATATCACGTCCGAAACTAGTTCTTCTGAAATAACAGCTAAAACCGCTAAAACCAATGCAAATGAGTCTTGATGTTAGGGAGTTACTCTAGGCCATTTCTGTGAGATGCACTTTCCAATGAGAAAAACCAGCAAACTTCTCGCACTGGTTCCAGTCCTTATTCCCTTACTTCTTCTCGAAACAAGCAGAGCCGGAACTGTCTATTGGGTAGTAAAGCAAGTATTATTAGATATTTCAAAAAGGTTAACATATTTTCAATCCATATTTGTTAGTGTTCATTGCCTATTCTGGCAAAGCGGCTTGGCTTTGCTTACCGGTTGTCTTTGTTAGGCACATAAGCACTAGGGAACTGGCCACCTCTCCAAGCCGAGCCTGGGTGTGAGCATTGGAGACAGGAGCCTCATGCAGGTTTAAGCGCAGGTCGGGAGGATGGGTGGACACTCTACATCGGCAGGTCAACCCTTTCTAATGCACCGGAACACACACTGCTGATGAGTTACACAATGAATTAATGATACTGTGTCAAAAGCCTGTGCTTACTGCTCTGCTAGAAAATAGGGAATGGACCCTAAAGAAGGGGGTCTAAAATGGGGAGTCTCGTGAAGAGAAAAGTTGTTTAGAAAGGGTAGTCACAACCTGACATATCTATATTTTTTACAACAAAAAATCCTAGTGACTTTGGTGGCAGAATGATAGAATTAGTTTTCATCTGAATAGCTTGCAGAATAGGGAGTTCCTGAGAACTACTCAATTCTAGTACAAGTCCATTTAATTTGACACCCCTGTAAAAAGAAATAGAATTTTAAACAGTAATCAGCAAAGCTTACAATATCACAATGTACACCAGCAATACCTTGAATTAAGATGGCCATCAGCAGCCATCAATATATATTTCTCCACATCAAAATTTTCAGAAGTATATGTATTATTATTTACATGTATAACTCCCTTGTAATCTGATAACCCCAGGTTCATACCAAATATCACAAAAGATTTTTTCTCAAGCCCACTTTCTTTGTGGCAATGAGCATACAATCTTATAGATGGATTTTCACAAGATGTTTTTAATTTGAGAACACCTGTTCCAACAATCTTCTTGTAGATGTATGAAACCCAGAAAGCCTAGAAAGCAAAACAAATGGCAAAGTATGACACAAGGTACCATAATTTCACGCTATAACAATTATTATTAGATCCCAAGTAGCAAAATGCATGACATGTGCGATTTTTTATGTGCATATAAACTCATTTTCTGCACTTATCTCTGCCGTTTGGCTATTTGGGATAAGTATAAGAGTACATATACCGTATTTGGCTGCAACGTTTTCTCATCCAGGAGACCATAGTGGCCACCAATAAATGATTGTCTCACTACAACAGATATATTGTTTAAGGCAGCCAGGCCTAACTTATCAAGCCACATGAAACCACTAACAAAACGATTTGACAATGCTGGAGCCCCACCACCAAAAGCAGAGGCAGTTTCACCTACAAGGAAAACATTGTCAGTTTCAAAATACACTTTTGAATTAGGCTCCAAAATTATTGTTTGGTTCAACTTAACGTACTTATCCATATTGGGAAACGGTTGTTAGTATTTTTGGTAACCACAGCCTTAATATCTCCAATTTCTCTATTAAGAACATCCATGATAGATGGGCTCATGAACTCCTCTAAAGTTGCATTTCTTCCACTAATGTAATACCTATGTGGCAGAAAATTCGTATTATGTATAGTCTTTTGGAATGACATCAATTTATAAAACTGACAACTCACTGATGCCATGTTGCTGCAGATACTATGTTCTTGGCCTTAGACAAAAACTTATCAAGATAGGTAAGTGTTGACAACTGTCTTCTCTTAGGACCTCTTGGTGCAGTAATGTCCGGACCTAAAAGTTTGGATTTCTGGTAAATGGGAAACTTTTTTAAAATTATTGAAAGAGTATCATAGTCTCTTGCAAGCTGAATAGGTGTCACTTCTTGTCCAAAAACATGACAAAATGAGTTGGGCTCTGCGAGAAAAAAAAGACAAAGTAACAAACAGCTAGGAATATATACAAACAATAAACTTAGATTTACTTCATTTTCTTACCATTCCCAAGCTGCCAATCCAATGTTAGATTGTTTACTTGGGAAAAGCGTATCAACCTGCTAGCATTGTCTGGATCCCATTTTCCAGACGGTAGACGTTTAAGAACATTCAGGTCAAATAATAGGTGTAATCCTGCTTCACTAGCAAGAGTGTTGATTGACAGCCATTTTTCACCTAAGATGAAAGTAATGCATGTAAGCTTTAAAAAAAGTTATGTTTGCTGTCATATTACTTTTAAACTTACGAGACAAATGCAGGTCATCCCATCTCTTTTTCAGACAACTACTGTCATCATAATCCCAGCTGTTTCTATTCATTAGAGATGATTGATAATCATCAATGCCATGTCGGTTGACATTCGTCTTATCATCGAATGTAACAAGATCAGCCGCAGTTCCTCCAATTCGAAGATATGCAGGTTTTAAGCCCTTGAGCATGTTCATAAAACCAAAACTGTTTCTGCATGGCAAAGAGAAGAACTGTTAAGGATACAAATTGACACTACAATTCCTTAAAAATAATGACTAGGGTGTACTCACAGTAAATTATTTAAGTTACGTTTGAAGATAAAATGAGTATCAATTGCTACACTTAAAAAGTTTTCACTGACTTCGCAAACTTTGGCATCAGTGTTAATGACAATTTTGTCATCGTTACACCAATCTGCTTGGGTGAAACTAAAAGCCAAAAGGGTAATGTAGAGGGTAGAAAAATTCATTTCTGAGAGTTCTGCTTCAAATAACCTAAATCGGGCATTGAAACAATTGATGGTAATGAAAATAAGCACCACACGATCTGATTCGGTATTATTTGACTTTGAACTTGTGAGTTAAAATACCGAAAGACAACCAAAGACAAGACACAGCAGACACAGAGCAGAAAGTTTTTTTTTAAATTTAATGTAACATGGCGCCGACTCCAACACAACATTGCAGTTAACATGTGAGTTGAGTGAATATGAAAAATTTATGATGACAATTTGAATAATTAAATGAACTCTGCAATTGTTAATCTCAGTGTTAGTACACGAATATTAGGAGCAACGAATAGACAAAAATTATATATTTATTCGAGAAGAGAAAAAAATAGCGATTGCATATCGTGGTGATGATAGAACCAAGGTCAAGGTAATCTTGGTTCGACGTGACTATACTCGATCTTGAAAGTCCACGCTACTGCCATTTTTATTGTGTTGACAGTGACAGTGTGGTAGGGTTGACATAAACCTCATTTGAGGCCTATTTGTTGGAATTTGCAAATTTAGAGGTAAGTACGTTGTAATATTTTGTCTTGGCTTTGTATCATTCATTTGCTATATGCCACTGTACAAGGTAAATTATCAAGTAGGTCAGTTGACATTTCTATGGCCAGTTGTGTCTAAATTTAGTCGGGAACTGTTGCCGTTGCCGTGTTCAGGGTTGGGGAATAGTGTGTAGGTTGTCTTGTGAATGCCACTTGTATTTTACGTAGGACGATTGGAACCACCAGAATGAGCTCTGTGTTTGCTGCCCCAGTCATGTCAGGAAAGGTCTGTTTTAATTTATTTCAATTTGAAACAATTTCTGGGGTTTTATTCTTCCCTGTTTTATGAAAATTGTTGAGAACTCTTCAACACTTAATGAATGGAGTTGCACCTGGCTATAGTAATTCCTTCAGGAGCTTGTGTTTCCCAGTGTTTTCTTATTGAAGCTTTCCCTAATATTTGCTGGTCTTAAACTAATATGCTATAACACAGCCAATCTGGTTGAGACCATGCTGCTTTAGTTTTTAGTGTGGACATCTCCTGTCTCATTCAACCTTGACATTGTTGCTATCTTTCCAGGAGAAAATGAGTAACAACAAACCAACAGCTCTGCCTGCGTATACTCCAGGGCCCCCACCCATGGCTGCACCACCGACTTATGCTCAGGCGGTTGGAGGCGTTCCCCCATCAAGTCCTTTTACTGCTGCTCAGCCACGTAAGCTATTTAATTGTTAGATGATTAAAGTTTATTCGTGAGTTCCAGCGTTATGAATGCAATTGACTTCCTTCTATTTTTCAGAAAATGGGCCTACTATTCTGACCACGGTTGTTCCTGTTGGTCCGCAGTCTACCCACATGATCTGTCCTCATTGTCTAGCCGAGATTGAGACATCGACTAAAACTGAGCCGGGAATGATTGCGTACATATCAGGAGTAGTAATTGCGTTGCTTGGGTGCTGGCTTGGATGTTGTCTCATTCCATGCTGCATCCCTGAATGCATGGATGTTCATCACAACTGTCCCAACTGTAAAGCTTACTTGGGCCGTTTTAGGCGATGATTTAATCTTCAGCCATTATTTAATCATATTTGACTCCACAACTCTTTTACAATTTTATTCTTGATTCTGAATCAACTGCTGCAACAGCATAAATTTTGTTCTGTGGTGTTACTATTTACCAGCACAATTTCTATGGACCTCACAATTTTTTTGAGTCTCTTGGCTTTCAGGCTAGCATACTGTTTTCAAAGCATTTAATGGTCAATTATTCTATCAGACTCATTCAGCTTTGAAGAATTCTTTTTCTTTCTGAAGCACTTGAATCAACTGTATTGATGTTGTCAATTTAAATGACCTGGCTCATCAAAAATTTTGGTACTAGTTTTTATTGATTAGATTAAGAAAGTGACTGCATGTCTTCAGAGACAATGGGATTGATTCCCCTTCAAATCTCACTGCAACATATGATCTGAATCTTGCTTTAAATTAAAGACCGAACATACTAGGAGATTTGTCACTAAAATGTATTTTTACAGAATCAACATGAACTAATTTGGATATTTTTTGTAATTTGTGTAACTAGTAACTTTAAAATTTCTAGTTCCTCTCTTCTTATGGCTTTCTGTATGATATTAATCATTTCATGGGGAACAGAGGGTTTCATATTCTGTTTACTGTCTACTGCATCATAATTTATATGTAGACCCAGTTCAGATCAACCTCTGTTGGAGTAATATTAAATGTTCTGGTCCTTGCAGTGCTACCCACTGCTGCACATACTCTGGACTTCAATGAATTTTCACTATGTGTATGCACAATTCTTGTCTGGCATTTTACTGAGGGTGTAATGTATGTTATTATAATTATCTAATAGTTGAATGACTTGTACAACATCATGAAGTTCAGGTACCCATTTAGCCACTGTTTGTATTTTCATAGTATTGAACCTTTCCACAATCAACTTTGACAACATCCTCGTAGATGTGTAAGGATTTCACCTGTCAGATAGAAAGTCTTTTTTTTCTTTTTTTTTTAAATCTAAAGAAATATACAATGAACTTATTAATTTAATACTAACTGGCCATTTTGATACAATTTGTTTTAATCAAAGTTAAGGTAGACATGATGTGGTAGTGCTTTTGTGTTTAACTTGAACATACCTACTCTGTGTGTGATGTGATGAAAGACTGTTTACAGTCTGGAGGGATTATTGGGAACTGTCACATATCCTGCTGTAGGGAGTTGAGAGTTGTGCTCTACTTAGTCATCTGCTAAAAAAAAAAAGGCTACAGCTTTAATGAGTCCTCATTAACGCGTTAAGTGCGGCGGACTTTTTACCCCTATGATTTAATCAAACCAAGGGTGCAACTACTATGTAAATGGTCGCATCGCACTTAACATGTTAAATCTCACTCAATGTCTTTGGGTTATTTAGTTCAAAGTCTTGTTATATAGTGTTGTAGTAAGAACTGATGATAAAGGAAGGCATTGCTTTGTTTTAATTTTTTTGTGCTTTTAGTTGTACCGGATGTGATAATTTTTCCTTTATCAGATAATGATTTATTCAATCTGATACTGTCCTATTTTTGTAACAAAATAACGTTCAATGTAATATATATAGCATTTTACTCTAAACCGTTGTAACTTTTTCCCTATTTTCTTCAAGTGCATTTGTTATATTCAGACACGTTTTCAATATCCTCTTTTTAAAATTTATTTCAGGACGTAACAGGTACAATGTTTCTTAAAGCTGTATACTTACAGCAATGTAGCAGTAAGACCACTTAAAATTCATTTATAACTCCTCCAAAATTACATTTTAACAAATGTTGTTTGATAATGTGAACATTACCAGTCTAGTAAACATTAACGTGAAAAAAAATAAGTTATTCTACCACACAAAGGGAGTATCTCAACACCCAAAAGAAGAAGGGAAAGAAAAATAAGAAGTGGAGAATATGGCACAAGTAGATCATACTTGAGCTGGAAACCAAGAGTGTACCTAAAGAATCTCAGGCAGGAACGAGGGATAGATAACTCCTTAATTGGGTGTACAAATTTCATGGATTGAATTAGGATTGGCTTGAATTGAATTTTAATTGTCTTTGAATTTGTGTGAATAATTGCGATTTTGTTTTACTGACTTACGGTAGCGTGAATTGAATGGAACTAGCTTGAATTGGACCAAATTGATAGAATTATTTTAGAATTGGTTTCAATAATTTCGGTTTGAATTGGGCAGAAATACAGGTGTACACCTAGCAGGGGAGTTCTCCACCCCTCGGGCAGGAATAGGGAGTGAAGAAGGAATAAAAATAAATATAAAAGACCCGCCGGGCTTCAAGACTTGCCTAGTGTACCCAAGGTGTAGCCCGACGAGGGAAAGGGTATGGCACAAGAGCCAGACCGACGACAACTGGACAGTAAACGGACTCCGCCCGGATCGCCTCTAATTAAACGCGTAATAAAAAGTGAGCTCACTGCTCTTGCAGTGTTCCGCTGGGAGCCACTCCTCGCCGGGGTAGGGCGGCCCAGGCCACAGGCCCAGGCTCCAGCCGCGTCAGCTCAACCAGGCCAGGGCAGACAGATTGTCGCGGCCGCAGCCAGGTCGCGGCTGCGCGGCCCGTGCAGGGGTCCACCCGGGCCGGATCCGACCGGATGGAATGCACCGGTTACCCGGACGCAGCCCAGGGAAGATTACGTGGAGGGCCGGGCCGGGCCGGGCTGGCGGCAGCCTGGCGGGCCTGGCTCTGGTGTGGCTGGTTATATCACAGACCATTCAAAGCGCGCCCACATCCCGCCACACTCACTCCGCACCCCGCCACGCAAAGTTGTGCGGGCCTGGCCGACTATAACGGCGTGGCGGG